CGGCGTTTTACTTGTAGATATACGTGTCGCTGTGAGCGTAGCGCCACTTCGAAGCGATAGAATAGTGCTTTACCAAGAACATTTACACTCACAGATACCCAGACTCTTCATGCACTACCCTGCCCCCCTCCCCCTCCGCAAAAAGGCATCGTCCGATCCATATCTTCATTCAACACCCCCCCCGCTACATCTTCGCACATATCCATCACTTCCCTTCCATCTCCGACATCGCTCTAGCCTCCTCCTCCCTCCTCCCTCACCTCCTTCTCCCTCCTCTCATCCTCCTTCTCCCTCCTCTCATCCTCCCTCTCCCTCCTCTCATCCTCCCTCTCCCTCCTCTTATCCTCCCTCTCCCTCCTCTTATCCTCTCTCTCCCTCCTATCCAGCTCCTTGTCCCTCCTCTCCGCCTTCTCCACCTGCCACCTCACAAACCCAACTAAGTTAGGATAAGGTACATGCCTCGGCCAATTGCGTCGCAGCACGCTCGTTGCATCCTCAAGTTGGGCATGTTGCTGTTCGTCGAACGTGGCCACGAGGTCGTCCCACGCGGATGGCTGTATTGAGGGATCGTGTCGTGCGCGGAAGAAGAGGTCGAGGGCGGCTTCGACGGCGTCGTGGGGCGGGGCTGTGGGCGTGTTGTTGAGGGGCATGTTGGAGTGTGTGCGGTGTATGGATACTTGGATACGTTATGCTGAGGCGGATATTGAGAGGAGTATAGGAAGCATCGTTAAGGAAGCGGCATGAAAAGGCAGAACTTATACTTGGGTGCATTCACGTTCGTCTCTTCAATGCCGGGCTTCAAGATCAAATACGTGAACGCATTACACGCACGCACAGCTTCCATAACGTCATCAACAATCTTGAATAGATTCCCTATCACATACATCTCCATCCCCCCTTACATCCAACCCAAACAAACCCCATCTACCTCCCCCTCCTCTCCTCCTGCCCCTCCCCACCAGGCCCACCACCCGCAAGCGTCCCCCTCTTAACCCTCCTAAAGCAAGCAAACTGCACCTTAGTCCCCTCCCTCAACCTCTTCAAGCTCACCCTCAAGCTGCCCAACTCCTCCTGCAGCCTCACTCTCGCCGCATTATCCGTCTTCTGATCCAGCACCTGGTAGATATCCGTCTGGATCTGCGATGCCTTTTCTGTGGTGTACGAAGCAAGCGTCTGTGCCATGAACTCCACGTCGAGCGTTGCTTGCATGAGTTGCGGGAGGGAGATGGTGGGGAGGTTGGCGGATTGGAAGGTCGTTATGAGGGAGGTTGTTGTGGCTTCGAATAAGGAGCGGAGGATACGCGGGGTTAGGGGTGCGGATGTTGTAGATGACTCGGTGTGCACGATGACGAGGTCCAAGAGGACGGTGAAGACGTAGGGGCTTGGGTCGCGGTCTGCGACGCTTTTGCGGGCGTCGGGGGGAGGTGCCCAGGTGGGGCTGAAGATGCCGGATTCGATTGTGGAGTGGATTTTTGTGGCGTGAGGCTTTGTGTAGGAGCGGAAGAGTTGGGCGTCGAGTTGGGAGAGGACGTCGCGGATGCGGTTTGTTTCGTCGGTTAGTTGGACGCTGAAGAGGGTTTCGAAGAGGGTGAGGAGTTGGGGGGTGATTTCGGACTGGAAGGCGGACATGTTGGCGAGGGTTAGGAGGAGGCGGATGGACTGAGATTGATTAGTAGTGGATGCGAGGTCATACTCGGTGTAGCTTACCTTCTTGTTGGCATCGACCCTGCCCCAGTCATTACCATTCTGATCATCTTGCTCGTCGATGGTCAGATCATCACTCTTGATCTCAAACTCAGCACCCAAAGCTTGTCTGCCTCGCTCCGCGCATTCAACCATCCCGCTGAGTGTCCTGTACAAGCTGGTAACGAACTGACTTCTAACCATCTGCAGCAGCTTATTGCTCGGCGGCACAACGACGTCCACTCTTGTCTTGCTTGAGGCCTCGACGTAGAGTATCTTTTGCAGATTGTTGAGTAGGAAGCTTTGTACTGCGAGGAAACGCTGAGGCAGGTTGGTGGTATCTTTGCGGTCAACGTGACGAGTCCAATCCTCAAGCACCTTCAGCTTCTCAGCATCCGTGTTCCAGGCTGCACATACAGCCTGAATGCAGCGCTCGCGCACACCGCCAAGGAGCAAGCGCAGCGCTTCGTCAATGCGTCCACTGCCTCCTGACTCGGGAACTTGAAGCGATGCAAGTTCGTTGGCTGCGGTACCAATCAAGACCAGCATCTTGGAAAGATAATGAGACCCAGAAAGCGCATTCGCGTTAGGAGGCCAGAAAGCGTACTTCTCCCAAGATTCACCGCGACTAGGTGATGGCGGTGGCGCTTTCGCAGGATCGAACCTAGACCTCGATGCTGACATGGGGCTCAGTGCTGCGCTCAGTGGTGTTCCGGGTGTGGTTGGTGTCGGGCTCATGGGCAGTGGTGACATGAGCATGGATACGTCCTCAATGGGAGGATCTGAGAAGAAAGAGAACAGATGGTCCCGCAGGATACTGATTAGTTCGGTCGTACCTCTCTCAAGCTCAGCTTTGTTCTCACTACTTAGGCGGTGGTGGACAGATGACTGGTTGTGATGGCCTGTTGGTAAGTTCCGTTGCGCGCGACCGGAGAGGAACGACTGGACAATCTCCCAGTATTCAACTAGTTCAGCAAGCAATCCAGATTTGTTTGAGAGTAGGGTCGTCATAGAGGCATACACGTGTTCCCAGAACTCGGTCACCTTCGGGGTGTCAAGCTTTGAAGGCTCAGCGCTGACGTTGCTGCTAGTAGGAACTGATCGCAGGTGCTTTTGCAGCATGCGCATGCTTGGCTTCTCGCCGTTCGCCAAATGACGACGAAGGATCTCGATCTCAACAAGCGAATGTTGGCACTTGGAATTGAGCTGGAACTTGAGATGTTCGTAGCGAGAGAGCAACCACACCCAAATCGGGTTCTCCTCCACACCCAGCTCGAGCATGATTGAGATGATGCTCAGATACTCGTCGGACTTGGTGTCTTCAGTTCCAGTCTGTAGGTGCGTGAAATGCGCCGCGGTCAGGCGTTTCCAGGATTCGCGCTTGAAACGTTCAATCTGCCGCTCGACGTCTGACCACATCCTAGCCGTCACAATGACTTGATGTATCTCGGCATCGGTCAGCGGCCTCTGAGTAGACGTGGCCTGTTCTACAATGTATCGAGCTTCGTCTGCGTATTTCCTTGCGCGCTTGTATTCTTCGGTGATTGTCTCGTGGTCCTTCCGGCGTATGGCATCTTGAATGGCTGATCCAACTTCAAACAGACCCCGGTGGTGCTCCACAGATTCCATGATGGACTTCAATGTCTCTTCCCGCTCGCGCCCGTTCAGCGCTGGGCCCCATACTTCTTCCGCCTTGACAGCGACTTCGGTCAGCGGGACCTTGATGCCATGAACACCGTATTCGCTCTCCTTGACGAGCGCATTCTTCCTCTTCTCGGCAGGCACCGCGTCAACCATGCCTGGTGTCAGAGATGCGCTTGTCTTGCGTCCCGAGAAGCTCGATCGAGCCCTGGGTCTGCCGGTGCCAGGTTGAAGATCCTTGTTGGGCGCTTCCACCTGCTCCTTCCCTTGGTCCCGCATCTCATTGTATACACGGTCGATTGTAGCTTTAGCGCCTACGAAGCGATCGAAGTTGGACTCGACGAGGACTTTGAGCGAAGCTGACTTCTTCTCGATCGACCGGGAGAGGAAGTCAAGGCCGGCGAGGAGGGAGTCGGTGGAGGCTTCATTGTGGACTTGGGAGAGGAAAAGGGAGGGCGAGAAGGTAGTGGAGCTCAAGAGGAAGCGATTGCCTGTGTGTCCATTAGACAGGCCTTGTATGTATTGCTATATGACTGGGACGTACGCAGCTTGATGTCATCCTCGACCTGGATGTTCTTCGCCCGCAGCACCTGCACTACACTCGGGTACATGCCCAACGGGTCCTGTTCATCCTTCTGGACCAACGTCTCCACGCCATCTTTCGAGCGCTCTGCTCCCGGGACCTGCCGCGAGAATCTTGCACTGGGCTCTAACACTGAGTATCGTGACTTGGACCGCCGTATCGATTGTTTCGTGGCTTTGGGTATGGGCTCGTCGAACGTATCCTCTTCGTCGGCTTCGTCCTTCTCCTGCGGCCAGGTTGCGGGGTACAGTGTCGTGAGATTGTACTTGTTCAGAATCTCCGTTTCTATAGAGGAACTCATCGCAGCTATCGCAAGCGCTGTCCGATCACGATCTCTAGAAATGTGGTGGTGCGACCTCGGAATGCTGCGTGTCGCAAGTGGCAGCTCGCTGAGACGCGGTTGCGACCGCCAATCAGGCGCGCGGAGGTCTTGGCGGAAGGTGCGCCAGCTACACCGAGCTTGACCCGTATCTTCTAACATCACCAACGACGCTTTTGACTCTGACTGAGGCCTGATCATCACATCAATCCGCCGCTCATATCAGCTGTCGTTGTCAACATCTATTATCACTCTTAGACATAATATTTGGCATACCTAGGTAGCCATGCAGGCATCACAGTCCACCGGTCGTCATCGTGTCGTGATCTATCAAAGTAATGTATTCATTAACTCCAGGCTGATGACCTACGCGATTCGAGACAGTCCCTTCTTAAATCGCTACATTGTCAGAGATCTTGAACTACTCTCACCATTGATACCCTCGGACGTATTGGCCAGGCCCAAAAGGCCTCACCTCTACTAGAGCACCTGGCTTCAAGATGCCATTCTCTTATCTCACCACTGCAGATACCGCCTGTTTTGACTTTACTTGAATCTTAGCCATGTGGCAGCTTGCTAGCGTCTAGCCTCACGACAGGCTACTGCTCCTATGGATATATAAAGACCTCTTCATACTCGATCAACCTCTACCACTACAACCAACTCCTTCTAATCTTTTGGCTCTCATCAACACATCTTCTCAAGTCAACAGTCCTCATACCATACTTCCTTTCGTACCAGTACGATCTATCATCAATATTCCACAAGCACAAAATGTCACTCCCCTCTGCCACAGTCGCCCCAGTCGTCCCAGAAGTTCTCCCTGAGAATCCAAAGGACCACACAATCACTACATCAACGCTCCATGGCCCACTCCGTCTGTAAGTGCTTTGCATCTCTAGATTGAGGAGATCCGAGCTAACATTTTCAAGAAGCTTCAAAGACAAGGCAGCACGCGAGCGCGGCAAGACAAAAGGACGTCCAACAAAGGTATATCGACCGTCGCACGAGCGTAACGAAACCTTAGCCAGCAACGTGTCTCGCGTAAAGCATCAAGTTCATATTGAGAACAAGAAGCTCAAGCTCAAGAAGCGCAACGCGTTTCAGTCTCGGGGAACTCTCAAGCCCAACTTGGACTTCACGACTGAACGTTTCTCAAGACACTTGAACGGGAGGAAGAAGACCAAGCCGACTCCGTTCATATCTACAACAAGTGTGCTCAGTAAGTCAAGTGTACAAGTGTCATGTATCTATCACTAACCATGATCAGAGGACGCTGAGAAGAGAGTTCGCCACCAACGTGACCACAGCACAAAGGCTCCACGTTGTACAGTCATTACCGGTATCGACATCTCAGATATAGTCGCAGCAACTCTGACGGCCGACATGTCAACAACTATCACTTCGCACGACCCCGAGCACGTTGACACGCAGTCAACCGAAACTAAAGTTTACCGCAACGTCAAAATCCCAATTTGGGTTCTCGACAAGACCCCTTACACAGGTCGCGCACACGATCGACCGGATTGCGTGGTCGACGACGTACTGGAAGCTGGCGGTATGTTCTGGTTCTCGGTAAACGAGCTCAAAGACTCCATGTTGCATGTATGGGTTTCACCGTCGCACCTGAACGAATGGTTGGCTGTCAGCAGCATTTCAAAGTCACTCGTCACCGAGACTATGCCTTACGACGGCGCCGTTCTGCACACCACCAAGACAGGCACGGTCATTCGAGCTCGCGGGTCGCCTGAACCGTACTACTGGAACTGGGACACCAAGCGTTGGGACCACAACCCTGATTTGACCAACTATCGCCCATATCGCCTCGAAATAACTGGCGATAAGCGAGTCCGAAGTAATGAACATACGGACGCCATCATTGCAGGTCTTATCATGGCTCGTCTCAAGCGTGCTAGAGGTCCTGGCCCCGAGACCGACTCGGACTCTGAGGCTGAGCCTGATATCGATGCTAGGCGCGACTCAGACGACGAGGCCCCCGATAGCGACTGAGTCGAGATAACCATGTCTTCCCTCTGGCATATATCGCGCCAGTTGGTATTTCAGCTTGAGGACTACGACGATCGAGTTTCCGGATAAACCCGTCACCTCGACTGAGCACGGCTACTATCATGGATACATGACTGCCGCCCAGTGCTTTGGACGATCGGTATTCTTCACTATCCTTTCTTTTTGCTTTCATGTTCGCCCCCAGAAAAGTTTTGCTTTGATCTGGATGCGTTCTCGTCTTTTGGAAAAGTTTGACCGCGTGAGCTCTCTTCGCTCATCGCCGATGATTAAGGATGTGCTTCTGTGCTTTGCGATATTCATCAAGCCTGCTATCATGAGACTCGGAAGCTACATCTCATACACGGTATGGGCTCGGAGGGTAGATCGGGTTTGAGGACTACAGGTGGCTGTTTTGTGTTCAGCGTGCATTGCGATCTCGCGTTGCTTTCTACATTCAAAATTACCTGACTATTCCAATTGATGTTTTCTGCGTGTAATCTTCAAGTCGACCCAAACTTTTCGTGTAGTGACTTGCCAACATGATGTAGACGTGTAGGCCTTGGTGATACTCAGCCCGATTTATAATGACACCATCAAATCTACAGATATGCGCAGCTATGAATGAATTATGCTGCTCTAGGGGCCTAGTTGTGAAGTTAGTCCAACGGGTGCGGGGCGATGTGCAGCAAGATTGGCGGCAGGCGACCCCACCAAAAGCCGCCCGGAGCCCCCAGCTCCACGGGCCCTGCATTTGCGGCTGTGCAAGTGGCGAAGGACCGGACGAACCATGATTGCTCTCAGCCCTCGAACCTTCTCTCCTTACACGCCTCTTCCAAGGTCAAAAGCCTCTGGATTCTCTTACCTATTATCATTTCCCACCACACATTCAGGGAATCTTTTTGAATAGCAGGACTGCATCCGCTACCACAAAGTCCGCAGAGATGCCTGCGCCACTGGCCAAAGGTGAGTACGGATAACTCCACTTATGCATGTTGCTGCGGTGTCCCCAGCATATTCAACGTTATTTCTCTCGTCGCGTATTCCTCTACTGTCTGCTGTACTTTCCTATGCCAACCTGCTTGCAGGCACCGGCCCGCGCTTTGCATCTCCGCAAGGCAACACTCAAACCCCGCCGCATCGTCCTAACCACCCCTTCACATCAGGCCTCATAATCGCCGCGTCCGTTATCGTCGCCGCCGGTATCGCCATCTACGAGTCCCCTCAGGTCAGACAATGGGCCGATCAAACCCGTCGCAAGATCGCCATCGCGCTGCATAACCTTGGCGATGACATTCAGCCTCGCCGTCCGAGCGAATCGTCCGACGACTTTGAAGCCAGGAAGCAACGGAGGGAGGAGTTAATCAGGAGGAATAGGAATGAACTGATTAGACGGGCGAGGGAAGAGGGCATCGCCGTCGACCTGGACGAGCTGGCTAGGATCGGTGCTGAGACAGCTGAGGTGGCTGCCAGGCGGTCGAGGGCTGATCGGACGAGAAGCTTCGACGACATGGTTGGCAGCGATGGCATGCTCAGGGACAACGCGACGGCGACTGGCAAGGACAACTCGAATGGCAATCTCAAGAAGCGTGGTGCTGCTGGTTTCGCCGCCGGCTCCGCTGCCGCTGCTACCATGGCTAACCCCTTCTCCGACGACCAAGTACTATTCGACCACGACGAAGACGAAGCGCCCTCACCCAAGCCATTCACCTACGAAGAGCCTGCCGCCCGCGAAAGCTCCGCTACAATCGTAGCCGACGTCCCCTCCACACCCACCACCGGCACACTCGTCGACCTAACACCCGACCCCGAGCACTCCATCCCCGAGATCCCATCGTCCGCGCAGCCCGCCCAAGAAGACGCCGACCAAGCCGCCCAATCCTTCTACTCCTTCACCTCCTCGCAAGCAGGCGAACCCACTCCCTCCCACCCCTTCTTCGACGACAACGACGCCGAGCACCTCTCCACCGGCACCCTAACCCCGCGCTCCGAGCGCTCCATGACAATGAGCGGCTCCGTCGCCTCCGCCCACGCCAACGACATCGCCATCCTCAGCATGCCCAACAGCGAACAAAACGACACAGACCACGACGCGCGTTCAGAAAGCGGGTTTACTGATGCCTTCTCTGAGGGCGGCTTCAGCGAGTTCGACGGCGATAGGCAGGGCATTATGACGCCTACGAGCTGGACGGATGTGGGTAGTGATGATGATAGTGAGTGGGGTGGTGCTGGACAGGCGGGGCATGTGAGTCAGATACATCAGTAGATGTAGGTTTCTTGGAAAGCGGAAGAAGGGGTTTCACTTGTTGGCTTCAAAATGATACTATAGGGCACGGCGTTTGTGGGTATACATCGGACTAGGGTAACCCGGCGTTTTGATTTAGATGGGAATGGGGTCATGGATCTCTAGGCAGCTATTTTCGCTATCAAATTCTTAACATGTATCTTCGCTAACAAGGACATCGGTGACCAAGTTCAGGATACAGCTGAAGTACATCCTTCTTTCGTAATGAGCTCAACGGTATCAAATGCTTCCGACTGGACCGCCCAAAGAAAAGGGTCCAATCACACCATGGGTGTATCTGCGCACGTGAACACTAGCGCACACTGCTGCCTTAACTTATACGCTTGTAATCAGCGCAACAAACTTCCATTAACCTTTCGTTCATCACTCTGAATTTTCTCTCGCCCCAACTTTTACGAAATCTCCTTCAGAATGGCTACGACCGACAGTCCCAGGATCATGTACGGTGCACCGGTACGTCAATTTCGGCACAATGTCGCTGACCATTCTGCCGCGAAGGACTATTTCATACACCGACACGAGCTCGACCGTTTCCCTCGAACAGGTCGCAGCACTTACCACAGGCCAGATCTCGCCTTCATATGGATGCCTCAAAAGGCAGATAGCGAGCCCGATCATGTCGATAAAGGACGCTACCTACCCTGTCTACCTGTAGAGCTGATCTTGGACATATTCGACCTGCTACCACCAGTCGACGCACTCAGCCTTGGTATGACATGCAAATACCTCTGGGGTCTGTCTTCTACAAACGGCGTCCAAAGGCGTTTGGAAGGGCTTCAGGCTGAGGGCGGAGACTTCGACGAATACGCCTGGCGCCTGCGCAAAGATTGCTTCAACCGACTAGCTGAGTACGAAGAGGCTAACACCAGCTCCAGACGATACACACCATATGACAAACTTTTGTGCAGCTACTGTACAGACTTCCATCCATCATCAGCTTTTGGAGCGCTAGAGCAGGAATGCCCTGCTATAATCGCCAGCGAAAGACAATGCACAGCATCCGCTGGCACGATATACTTGTGCCCACATACACAAATGGCGTTTGAGGGCTTCCTTCGGCTATCTCAAGGACCTGGGACAGGACGTTCATGGCCCGCATGCTCGCAAGGATGTAACACTCTTATCACATCATGCGAGGAGTCGTGTTGCTTCTGTCTGACTCAAACAATACCTCTATACAGAGCCGACGAACGCAGCCCCTGGGGAACGCCACAGCACCTCCTGCCAGAACACCGCGATAGCTGTTGTGCTACCTGTCTCTTCGGATCGATACCCTTCATCAAGATTGCTGAAACAATTCAAGACACTGATATATATGTCTGTCCTCATGTGCAAGGAAAGGAAAAGGTCGCCGAGATCCTCAAGCCAATGAGAGAAGCCCCAGAGCCAGGGTACTCTGGTTGTAAAAAGAAAGGCCATGGCTCCCAAATTGTATTGATGGATCCAGAACGCAGGCGGTGGAGATGCAAAGTCCGTGGTTGCGGAGCGAAGTTACATGTTGTGTTCGACAAGCATGGGGTCGAGATTAGGACTTTTAGGGAGCTCAGTTTGACGAAGGTCACGGCGGATAGCTGGAGAGCGAACGTTGAGTATCCAGGACAAGAAGTGTGGTTGGTATAAGTTGGTGACACTGGAATCATGCTTTTGGTTGAAGCTTTATCTGCTAAAGCAACAGCACATGGCCTTAAGAAAAATACGCGCAACAAAAGTTGGAGGAAAGGCACCACCGACAGTCAACAGTGTATACCATACGCCCACAACACGACACTCAACCCAATTCACTAGCATTGAAGGGAGATGGTATCATTACATGCATAGTCCTCAAACCTAATACTCATTCCCAAGCACCTTCTTCAACCCCTTCATCTCGACCTCATACCTCTCCACCTTCGCCTGACTCGTCATCAACTTGCTCAATAGATAATTCACCCGTCCCGCCGTCTGCGCCGGCTGATTCCTCAACTTGCTCAACAGCAACAACTCATTCTCGCACTTGTCAATCGTCGTACTCTCAATCTTTGTCAGATGCGTCAGGATCGCCAGGTCTAATCGACTCTTCAACACCTTGTCCTCGGTCAGGCGCTTGAAAGCGGGATGGTAGACGGGTTTTCCTGGCTTGATGATGGATGGACGGCCGTTGGCGCCGGAGACAATGGAGATGAGCTCTGCCTGTTCGAGGGCACGGAGGACGGATTCGCCGCCTGTTTTAAGGATGTCGTCGATGAGGACTTCGTTGTAGCGGAGGCTTTCTTTCTGGGCGAGCTCTTTGATGAGGAACCAGGCTTGTTCAGCGTTCCAGTGGCGGTTGCCGCCTTCGTCTTCTGCGCCAAAGATGAACATTTTGAGGATCTCGGAGGCGGACTGGTCGATGATTTCGTGGACGGCTTTGGTGGGTGTCTCGCCTGTCTTGATTCGGCGGGATAGGAATTCGAGGTCTGTGAGGCGGCCGCCTAGGAGGTCGATGCAGGTATCGAGCTCGTCGAGATCGTCGCGGTGTTGAGAGGGTAGTTTCTTGGGTGAGCCGTCCTTTGGCGCTGGGTCGTCTTCGACATCGGCATCGAGATGGGTGATCACGAATCGCTTCGCGACCTCGGGGCTGCAGTCTGATAGCGAGATCTGACGGAACATGCGGTCTGGCATGGCCTTCGAGAGCGACTTGCTGAATGCGACGTCATTGGTCAAGAAGATCACATGAGCCACG